TCAGTTGTATCATCTCCTACCTTGGAGGCTTTCAAAAAAACGATTAGATCTTGCTCTTAGCTCCCAGTACTTTGTTACTTAAACAGCGTTATTGTGGATTACGTCAAGCATGTCTTCCTGGAGGTTTTATGTGCCAAATGGACCCGAGTGTGCGACCATATTTTATTTTTCTCACGCCTTGTGTCAACCATCACTGCACCCCAGTGTATTTCTGGACGTTTATACTCAAAAATTTATTTTATACTGAGGTTATTTATCAAGGCATTCACCTTGGTAGACCCTCGATAGATGACTCACATATATTTTTATTTCATCGTATTCACCCCAACTATCCTACGGGACGTTTCAAGCACTTGCTTTTATCCTGTGATAAATCATTGTTCTTTATTGTTCATTTTTCTATCCTTTAACAAAAATGCTGTTCCATTGAGTGAAAAACGCCAGGCACGCAGTGTCGTTCCTTTCAAATTTTTAGTTGATGAAGCAGCAAATTAGCAAAAGTTGTTTCAGACTATTCGATATATGCTCATCATATACAGGATTTCAAGAGCTGTGACGTGGACTTGTGTGTTTTTGGAAAAGCAAATGCAACCGTATATTTCTGCATTAAATTCAATTTATCGTGGCTGCGCTTAAGTCAGCGGTTTCACTAAAGCAGGACAGCTTGGAATGAAATTACAGTCTATTTAACGAAGAGCAGAAGACAGCAGAGGCCTTCACAATGTGAGGGAACAGACAGTTAAAATCGACAGTGATTTGTTTACGAGACTGTCATATCGATGGAAAGCACTTGATGCCAGAGATAGAGAGTAGTAGCAACATTAAAAATTCACTATTTTAATTATGGTGCAGTTCAAGCATAGAAACGTTCAACAGATTTGACACAAATTGGAGAATGACCTCTCGCATGTAAACAAAGGACACGCGTCGTCGCTGTGCACAAGGAAGAACAACTATATCGTGTAGGACTTGATAAATAAGTTTTCGAAGGTTATGAACACAGCTTCCAACATTGCATGCAACCAGTCTTGAGTATATCATCACCAGAATCGCGAAAAGAACTTCACCCTAAATATGTAACTTGCGCAATCATGAATTTGTGCCGGAAAATAGCCGCCACGATCTGTCACACTGTTCCGCATTCGATAACTCTACGTACTGTGCAGTTGCTTGTTGTTTTCTCAGGCAACTTACGCACCTACACGCTCAAGCGCGTGTGGCCAGTTCGGACCTTGATGAATTTCAGTTTCCCTGGAGGGCGATATCATGGTCGTGTAACGACAGCTAGGCCCTCAGTAGCTACTTAGTACAATATGGTTGAAAATATGAGGAACCTAGCTCAGGGTGTGAAAAGTCGTAGTGTAGTATCACCCCATGACCGTACGAAGGACATGAAGCTGAGCCAGGACCGCGTTGTATGCATGAGAACGCTGCTTCCTTGTATAGGGTATAATGGTTTATGAAACAAAGCTACTGAAGCACATTGGAGCTAGCCAGCATTATAAACAACTAATGGTCCGAGCGAATAAGATGTGCCAAAAGAAAGGATCAATAAATTGAGTTCGAGGAAACGACATTGGCGGAAATAGACTCCTGAGATAACATCCATTATGAAGGACGTAGGCCAGCCAATTAAAGTAAAGGAATATTGCATTTAAACAATTGATAAGAAACAAACGACGGCGAAACGAAGCATGTGACTAAGACTTGTAGCAAAGCATTGAGCATCCCCCTAACAATAAGTCAAGCGGATTGTACCAGGTAACTTGTTTTGGATTCAAAGTGAAATTTTACAACTGCCACATTTCCAGTTCCCAATCGATAGAGGTCAAGTTCTATCAAAGAATCGACATCTGACGTAATACTACAGTTCTTCATCGGTGTTGTTTGACACTATGTAAGATGCACTCGAACGATCAGAAGTTACTTGGACCACTACTCAGAGTGAAAACACGTGCTTGAATGTGCTTTCTGTTTGTCCTAGATGTTGGTGCAGTTGTGTGGTCTCAATGGATGAGGAGATACCACAAGAGAATGCTTTTACATTGTCGAATTATGGCCTCATTATTACCTGTTAAACAAGGTGCGAACCTCACGCACCGTTTTGCTGGAATGCCGTTGGTAAACTGCTTATGATGTGCGGCCGGTTGAGGCTACGGGGGACGTTTGCGGAAATGTTAGCTTTGCACGGAAGATGCGGTCCGTGCGCTGCAAAGTAGACGAGTTTTTACTGACAGCTTACGAATAATAAGTAACAACTCGAAGAATCGATTCTCTTTGGTGACGATCACTTCTTATAAGATGCTTTAAAGTGTAGAACAACCAACGCAGGCTTAATCTAGAACTCACGTGGCTTTCGATGCTGAAGCTAGGAAGCTGTGCACACGTGACAATAAAAAAACTGAGATGAGTGTCTGGAAACCGCAGTTCTGACCAAAAGTAACTAGGCAAATTGTGTGGCACAGACGAACAAGATGCTTAAAAGGCCACAACTGCCAGCATCAAGCCTGTGAAGTTCTAGGAGACCTTGGTTGAGAGCCGCAGTGAGCATCCTACTCATGGTCGAAACCACTGTGAATTGCAGTGGGCTGCCTTAGCGATTGATATGAAATCAATGGTTGGCGTTTACTGACTACACAGGGAGCTGTAAGTAAGCTACGGAGCTGCATCACCGGACGCCACGTGTTTGTGGAACGAGTTCGAAAAAGTTGTTTTGGCATTGCAGGCCTCCGCGCCATCAATGGGAGAAACGGGACTTCGATAACTAGTGCATACTCCGTAGCATCGCCTGTTAAATGGAAAGCCAACGTAGATACTAAAGCGGTGCGGAGCTTACCGGGCCGTGATAACGAGCTGCAGGAAGACGACCACATAATAGGATTGGGATGAAGGGACACTCTAGTAACTTCAGGGATCACAAGGAAGCTGACCAAGTGATATGACAGACAGAAATGTCCACACGCCTTCCGCTCTTTCAAACTCATTAGCTGAAGACGGTTCTCTCCGATTCAAAGACTTCCTTTCGCAGTAAAGTCCTTAGCGGTATACTAGCTCTGCTCCTTTACCTGATCTAGCCCATATAGTTTGGTGGATAGTATAATGCAGATGATGCAATCAGTAGCCTACCACATATACTCGAATATGGGACCAACACACTTTGATTTGTGGGAATATGACGGAGAAAACAGCGAAACCCGTTCTGTTTTATCAGCAAAACGCAAATCTCACTCGGACCCACGTACGGGGCTTGTCAACAGTTGGCTTCAACCTGTGGTAACCCATTGTACATTGCACAATATTTGCAAATGAACCTGCTCGAATTATTGAGGCAGACACCGTTTACCGCGCGACGATGCTTCAGCATAAACAGAGAGCATGCAAGTTATCATTGTACGAACGGCGTGCAATCAGGTCGTTTGAATAGATATGATGGGAAGAAAGAAGTAAGTGGATTGAACCCAGAGCTTCATAACTGAGATATCCAGGACGAGAAAATATTAGGGCACCACTCCTGACCAGTCGCATGAAACTGGGTACCTATCGAGGGCCGACTATGCCGCATGGGTTGCCAGGAGGGCTGCACACTCCAGTTGGCGTGTGCGGCAACAAGCTGAACCTCAATAGTGTTTGCAAAAGTCACGTATTTGGTATACCTGATCTGGATCCTTGTATTGAATGACCAGCATTAGATAGAGACCCGACATTTTGCACGTGGTCAATCGCGAAAAAATGGCGGAAAACGATGTAAATTCTCCCTTAAGATCTGCTGAATTATTATGATTTCACAACTTCAGCATGGATATTGTCCTTCGTATATTTTTGAAGTTTTCATTTCACGTTCCTATGGTGCATCAAACAGAATTCTTAGTTAGCAATAAATCGGAATACTTGTAGCTCGGGTGATCTGTTCAGATTTTGTTCCGTTCTCCGAGCTGAACAGTTTCGTTGCAGACGTTTCATCACCAGTCGTGGTGACTTCCTCAGTGCGTTATAAGCAAACTGATTTGTTTTGTCGATCCTTACCGACGAGCGAGTCACCACGACTGGTGATGAAACGTCTGCAACGAAACTGTTCAGCTCGGAGAACAGAACACAATCTGAACAGAATTTTTAGTTCTTCTTTGCTGTGTAGTTTCGAACGCGGTCCGAACTGAGCTAGTAAATATTTGGAAGTACAATAACTGATCGAACAGCCAGAGCGCCCAATGTGAAGGACCGATCTCTTGGATTACGGTTTTCAAAGACTTGACCTACCTCGAGCAGATGTGGCCATATTGGGCAAACAGCTTGAACCCTGCTCCAAAGCATTGTGAGACCAGTTGTTACCCTCAAGTACACACACTATACGGCTAGTGAAGCATCTGCGGAATCTGAACGGCTTCTCAGGAACAATCCATAGGCCACACTCCTGCAACTTCGGAGTTCATGAATTTCTTGATTTCCAACCTGCTCTTTGAGCTCAACAATGACGGCTGTGAAATTTGAAAGATTACTAGCATAAACTTAGCAGTGCACATGCCAAATAAGCGGAAAGCTTATGTCGAGCAATGTCTGACCAATGGCTGAAAATGGGTAGTAGGCTGAGTCTGGCAAACTATTTGTACAGAAATATGTCTTGAACCAATGCCAACCAACCCAATAGCGAATTACTGGGCTGAAGTAGCACAGAAACCTGGAGAATACTGACATCGTGACCCAATACCTAAATGACACTCCAGTCAGTGAAATAGCTTCATTATTCAGGTAGAAATTTCACCTCCATGATTACTCTGGTCTGAAACCGTACCATGTGGCCGGATGTAAGGTACCTCGTGGAGGTAAGTGGGTCGTTCCTCACGGTAAGAGTTGGTCCTTCCCAATGAACAGAGTGCGTTTGATTCAGACAGTTTGTCCCAACAGGCCAGAATAATGCACAATTTATGGATACAGATAAAGTCATGGTAATAACTCAAAATATAATAACACTTAATGCCTACATCTTATCCATGCGCTATCTTTAGGTATACAAACAGATGAAACGCTTGCACAGTGATCTACGCAAGTTACGAAGACGCAGTCGCGAAGAGAGGCGTCAGCGGTTCGGATTAGACAGCGGGCGTGAACCGAAGCCGCAACCACCCAAAGGGAACGGGGATGCGCAATCAGGAGAGCAACCTAAAGACCAAGAAACCAGTAATCAAGAATTGGAAAAAGAACCAGACATGACCAACGCCACGCTGGTTGCGTTACCAGCCGAGCGACGAGTGAAGGTAACCGACGACAGTTTGAGCAAGGAGGTTATAGGAAAGCAGGTAAACGGTGTTTTCAAGTCGCAGTAGTTTCGTCACTAACATAGGATTCTAAAAAGTGCTTTTAAACTATGTGTAAGTCTTGCCACAGGTGCTGTCAAGTAGTTTCTTGAGCTCGCTTCTCATCTCGCAAAGTTTGGTCATCCAGTTGGATAACAACGCTATCACAACATCGAGTAAGTAACAACGACCTAGAAATCTTGTTGTAATTTGCCTCGGAACCTCGGGTCACGTCACAGTCCAGTTATTGATTTGCCATCCAGGCGACTTCATCAGTGTGCAAATGACCTTCACCACCTCGTCGGGAGTTGCATCTTTGTCATTGGGGAGTGGTTGCAACTAAGTTGATAATGTTGGCGAGCAGGTTAACATCTGAATCGCCAAATTAATTGCTGGTGGTTGTTACTCGGCGCTCCCTCTGGTACACTTTAGTTGGCTGTGATATGGGTGACTGCGGAGATTTAAATCTTGCTCAGACCGATGCAGTGGCATCGTAAGTCTGAAGAAACCTTAGTTCGCAATGAATCGAACCGTAACGTACGAGTGCAAATTTATGCTACAGATGAAAGCAGGCAAACACGAGCAACAGAACTCTTCCGTTGACAATCGACTGGTGCAGATGGACGCCATTGGTTTACTCCATTAAGACCAAGAATAGTTACATCAGAGGGATGTTGCCCCATGCTTTTTTTCTTATTCGATAAACAAGGACTGCATCTAAAATCTGGAGTCGTTCTACTATTCTTCCGAAACAGCACAAGTGGTTCTGCAACCAATGAGGTGGCTGATCAGTGATTTCAGGGCACAACGTAGGAAGTACGCCACTCGGAAAGTACAAAAAGTGCAATCTACTGATGGAGGGTTGTTTATTGATAGTGGCACATTTTCTGTCAAGCCTTGGTTTTCTCCTTTATTCAACTTCCCTTGTATACTGTGTGACGTGCGGTCAAGTACTCTAAAAAGTTTATGGGTACAAGTAGATGCTGGACTCAAATGATTCAAAGAGAATTGCTCACATCCGATTTCAAACAAACGGGCACTAAGTGAACCGTATTGCAACAGTTGGCTAGCGGAACCACTGAGTGCAAGCTCGACAGAGAACAGAGAAACCATATGTGAATGTTTACATTACGTACAAATAATTTTAGTATTCGTGCAGGTCAAGTTGGTCGTCACTGCAAGTGGGTCTGCAGCACAAGGCCCGTTTTCGTCCTCAACCATACCGTGTAATTGGCAAAGAGTTTCGCTTGGGTATCGACGTAAAGAAAGTAGAACCACTGAGCCCAACTACCAAGGGTTTCGAATGGCGTAACCTAGAGACAAAGGAGAATAGAGTAATTAACACTGAACGATATATCACGTGTAATAAGCCAAGCCCTTTATAAGTCCCGTAGTAGGACAGGAGAGTGATTTACTGAACCAGAGGTAAGGGTAACATCAAAAAGCAGGTTTTGGAGGACTCACCAAACGATTCACGTGAACACGGTTGTAGATTATCGTACTGCAGCGTTACGCAGTAGGTTGATGAATACAATATCTGGTTTGTGTAGTTTCATTCTCCGGTTACCTTTGATCATACGCCTAATGAAGGTGGCGTACTCGAACTGAAGAATCTGTCACTGTAAGCTAGTTAGATGCAATGCACAGCCAATCTCTCCGATGGACTCTCAGGTTCTATAGCAACTGACTTTCAACAGATCTCGGCAGGCGGGTTTGACGTCCCTCAGTATCTGATGTGCCATGGTGAAATCACAGAGGCACGATACAATGACTTTTAGTTTGCGTTGGTAGAAGAGGCGAAGAAAAGCCTAAGCATTTTTGTCCCCGCTAAATTGTGCAGTCTCAAGTGTACCAACATCGGGTTCTCGTTAGGCACACCAGGCTTGAAGTGCACACTCCAGAGGGACCTCAAGTTCATATTTAACTTTTGAGGAAAGGTATAAAGCTAGTACTTCCCGAACGTTCTCCGCAAAATACCGAAAGGTTGACTATTATTCCCGATGCATTTTCAACCTGTATGGAGTGAGCAAAGCCACCTTCCATGGTTACACCATGATCACTTTCCGAAGGGTTGCACAGCAAAAAACGTTCATCAAGTTGGTAACCCTCAGCGCACTGATGTGGTATACTCCAAACATTGTACCTGACCACGTGAAACTGGCGCAGTTCTGTTATGGCCACACTTAAGCCTTTGTGAATAACAAATACACAACTTGCAAACTAAATATTTTATCATCCCGCACCTACTCATCAGTAGGTGGATAACACAAAATTACACATTCACTTTTTATGCGTGTACAACCACCAACATTATAAAACCCGAAGATGAGCTTCGTTTGTACGCTTTACTGTGGCTACCTAATCCACCGCGCTACAAACTGCTGCCGTACCCTTTCGCCGTGCGCGTGTCCGCTGCCGTCCGCTGTTGTGCGTTTCACTGTTGACCCTAATTCACCGCTAACCCGAGTACAGACCGCAGGAAGTGTTTTAGCTCACTGTGGGGAAACATTCAGACTAGTCTAAACAGTTTAATTTACTCCTATTTGCAAGTGTTGTGATATAATCCTGTTTTCCGATATCTGCTCATCGATTTGCGGCTCGTTTTGTCTTGTGGATCCAATCGTGCATGAAACAAGGTTTATGGAGTACACTGTTCCATCCGGCAACATGTACAATCCGATCGAGGTCGCCGTGGAGTACCTAGTCGTCGTCCACCGCAGTGACACCATGTTAGATCTTTAGCTCGTCATCCTATAATAAAATATTTGAGGAGCAAATTTGCAAGGTCATTTAGGAAACCCAAGAACAGAAGTGATTCTAGTACTTAGCTTGAACTACATCACAGTGGACTACAATTCTGTCAGAAATGGTGCTGAGGACTATCATATTTAGTTGTTGATAAAGGAGGAGACAAAATCATCGGTTCCGTAGTACCAAGTTCGTGAAGCAGAGTGCGGTGATCCAGGCAGTCCAACGCCTTCGAGAGGTTTAGGTAGAAGATATCATCACCTCTTGCATTGAGAGATTCTGTCCAGATTGCTCGGCCTAACATGGTTACGATGTATGAAAGATTTCGGTGCACTCCGTTTCACTTCGACGCAAAGTCAGTGCTACTGTCAGGACAATCCACAAGCAATCCTGCGAGGGTAGCCTTCATGAATCTAGAAAACACCAGAAAGAGAGTTGTTAGACTCTAGTTCGCCGACTCCGTAGGATTGCCACCGTTGTGAAAAGTGGCTACTCTACGCTTTCAAGCTGTGAAGACCTGTATTCACTCAAGGTACCATTGGAAGGGCCGAGCGCAGTGATTCGGCAGTGTTTATGGTAGCTACTTTTAGTACGTTTAAGCGGCTGTAGTCCACACTGGGACAGCTTCGTCCGCGAACCTACTGTTTTATCTCGTCACCGTAGTGGTAGCGAACGTTATGTGACAAACAGGAGAGCTGCCGGAGTTGTGTTAGACGCCGTTAAGATAACGCTCCAACCTGGAAAGTATGGAATAGTTGTTACCGAGGCGCGTTGACTGTTATTTGTATGGTTACCAACAGACGATCTGTTGTACGTAGAACGGGGATTCCGCGCAATAGTCTGCGGAAGTGGAGGGTTCCGTTGTGCTTTTCTCTCGTCTCTACGTGTTGCAGCCCAAGTCACGACGGGTGATCCTAAACCCCTATAATCCCTTTGCGGAAGATTATTGACATGCTAGTAGGGCGATTCAGAAAAATTGTTGAAGTTTATCGCTAAAACCAATGATTGCATGAGTTTGCCTTCGCAAACCTCAAATGCGTTTGTTAAGTTATGCGGAAGCCACGGGTGTGTCCCCACGACAAGAGCTTATGAACGCAACAAGCCATACATTTTGCAGTCTAGCTCCTTGAAAAGAATATCATTTGTTCCAAAAGAAAAACTTTGGCTTCCGACGCGCTCGGCGCGAGCTAGATGAACGGAGTGTCAAACTCCCCACAGGTGACCTCGGGAGGCTGTTCGGACAGTGTAGTGTCCGTGAAAGCAGAACAGGAACTCAGTAGACTAAACGGATGTACGGACACAACCACCATGTAATAACGGTTGACTCTTAAATCATTGACACAAGCCAATCGGCGTCAAGCACGCATCCGACAAATGAACGCTAAGTGGGTATATGATTCATGACCAATCAATAGTGATGCACAAGAGTAGGCAGTAATCTGACACCATACTGTCCCTTCCTCTGTTTGTAACTATGTAATCACTTGGTGTCAGCGTTTAAATGGTTGGTTGCATAAAACAGTAAAGAACATACACATGAAGCATACATCACTTTGAGTTGTCCATCAAAACATACCGGTCGACAGGGAGACGCATCCGGCTTGACACTCGTAGGCTTTCTTCTGTTCATGATGTCTCTGCAGTACCTGTAGTCGCTAGTGGAGTAGTATTTTGAGAAAGTACCGTGTGCAAACATCTCGCGTTAACTCGCGTCCCATCTGCCAGTTTGTATGTTCCTAGCGTATACACAGATTGCACTAGCGTAGGAGGTCCGAATTTATTTTCCCCTTTCTAGGAACTGGGTAGTTTCCTACGAACTGGGGTCCCTGGAGGGTAAGTATTTCCTAGTCGTCTGTTCATAGATTGGTAATCAGTTAGTCTTTCATATTCATCAGGGTCCGTTGTTTCTTCGAATTTACAGGCTGCATTTAGCTGGGTTCGAATTACGCTTTCCAGCATCAGTTCTGATGGAGTTTTGGCCGTTGCTGTATGATGTATGGTTCTGTATGGAGCCAAAGCTGATACCAAGACATCCTCCCAAGATTCTCCCGAGAGCAGAAAGATTTGCATAGACTCCTTCAATGTCCGATTTAGTCGTTCGACCAATCCATTACCAGCCGGATAATAAGGCACTGCCCTGGCGTGTTTGATGACATTGCTCTGAACGAATTCGGAAAACTCGTTACTTCTTAACTGGGGCCCATTATCAGCGAGCATTTCTTTGGGCAAACAAATGCCGTGGCCACTTTATAATG